TCCTGCTCTAATTGAGAAATAATCAACTTTGTTTTGAACCCATGTAAAACATAAAAAAATTAGGCTATTTAAGAAAAATTTAAGCGCCTGCCTTCAAGGTCTTTCATGTAACTTTAATAAGTTTGCAAAGCCAAAGACCTACTAAATACTTTCATAATTTTGAACGTCCATGTTTCAGGAAACAATGAGCTAAGACTTACATGTAAGATGTCTAAATCTACACCATATATATATCCCTTACAAACCCTAACGACAATTCGCTGAAATACCAGTTAGCCAGATATGTCAATAAGCAAACAAACGCTGGAGTTGATATTTGATATGCTGATTTTCGCTAATTTTAGACACATCCCAAAATATGCTCCCGATTTTGAACCTTAATATCTCCGTGAATTTTTAAGTAAAATACAACTGTAATATATCAAAATCTAAGTTAGTCCTTCCTCTATTTAATGCAAGTTATTTCTGTTTCATAGCTATACTTGTTTAGAAGTTATTATAAATCAAACCGGACTTTTTTTTGGGACACCCGGTAGAGCAAAGAAATTTGTACGAAAAGTATTCAAATTTGCTGTTTTTAGACTTGGGATTGGTTTGCGAGCGGGACAAAAAAGCAACGGCGTTTTGTGTTAACACGAATTCGCCAAGCGCTCCATTTTCATCTCGCTCCGTTCAGATGCAGTGCTCAAATTGTTACGGCAAAAGTGACGTTTTCAAACAATTTCGCTTCGGCGTAGTGTAAGTAAACTTAGTCTTCGCCAGCATGATTGCATTTTGCCATGACGTTCCTTTCTTTGTTAATTTACTCGAAATAAGAACATGCAAACTCGCGAAAGTCCACTTTCCTTCACTTCAACGACTCACCTATATCTTTTATGTAATCGGTTATCAGTGTAAACAACATCATTTTCAAAATCTCCATATTGTTCTGCCTCGGTATTTACTTCTCCATTGCTAGTAATGGCAGTTTCCCACGGCCATTTTAGAGACTCGAGCCTTTCGTCTGAATTCACATGTGCACGTTCATGAGCGCTCAACAAACTTGACCGTACTCCTTCAATACTGAAAAAGAAAATGTTACAGAGCTATACATACATACACACTGTACATACAAAACTTTAATTAAACCACGCTAGCCTCAACAACCGTTGGAAGGCTGGTTTCCATGAGGGGCGTGAAATTACCTATTTACAATTAATTAACTATTTACAAAAATATAACAAAAAAAATACATGTGATTTTAGCTGCACGATTATACACAAGCAAGTTTCAACTCATTCTTTGTTTAAATATCAATTTGAAAGAGCTTAAGGATTCAACAATTTTTGCCTGAATACGTTCAAAAGAACTGCTAAAGGGAGATGGTTTATCTGTAAAATACAATCCTAAAAAGAAGAATGATGAATTTTGAATTTCTCCTAACGCAATGGAAATATTAAAACGTTTCTGATTCGTTGCGAGAAAATCAGCTGATAAATTGCTACGAAATGCGGCAATGAAATTCAAGTTTGGCTTCAAAAGTTCGAAATAATCCAAATTTTATTGACATTTTGATAAATTAAGGCTTTATTTTTCTTGGTAAAAAGGGAGCAGACAGTTACGTGTATTTATTTTCAATTTATTTCAATATTTGCCGCGTTTATACAATTGTGTTTTCTTGGAATAGACTAATCATTGTGTTGTGGCTTGGATCTGTTGATGTTTTTCTTGCTTGAATATCTCGCTTGTTTTTCACTGGTTTAACATATACGCTGGAAACTGTACATATTTTAATGTAGCCAGGATCCAGTTCACCAGTTTTGCTGCTTTAGAAGTACGTTTTTCTCAGAATTTTTTGCCGACGGTAAACACGGCAAAAACTCGTCGACTCATGAGTATTAAGCTTTAAACTTGGCTTTTTACACGTGATTTGGTTAAAATAGATCAATGATCTGTCAAAAGTAAATGACTGAGTGTTTTTATTCGATAAGTTATATTTTATTGATTAAAACACGGATTTTTTTTTTAAATCGTCGAGGAAATATCGAAAATCCCCCCCCCCCCCAAAAAAAAAGGTTACAATTTGCCGCGCTTTTTCCCCGTGCTCATTCGTGTTATTGAGCACTCATTTCAGCCAATTGAAAACGTTCTTATATAACATGTATATTATGACAGACTTTGGTACCTGCTATCACTATGTGAATTGTGGGTATCTTGGTCGGAGTTACCATCATTACCATCTTCTATCGGCTCACAGTTGGCAACACAAACTGGGCTTCCAGCTGTGACTGTCCCATCGACAGTCAAAACCAATCCTAGACCAACACAAAACGAATAATATAATAATATTTCCTGGCTTGACGGAATAACCTCAGTGAGAAAATATTTTCTTTACTGAACTGCTTAAAACAATACGCTTTATGCTAAATGTTATTGGCTGAGATTTGTGGTCACGTATAGTTTCAGACAAATGCAATTTATCCAGCTGAGCAAAATAGGGAAAATTGTTGCCTGTTCCGAGTGCAATTATTGCACGCGGTAGCAAAATGGGAATTTTAATTCCATAGCACGTGGTCATAGTCAGCCAATTAAATGACTAGAATTTAATGAGGTGGAAAATAAAAGTCACATACAAATATGTATGTATACGCTATAGACGTTATTTCATTGCAGCTGAAAGCCATATAGACATACCTTGAGGATTTCGTAGTCGGCAATAAAGTCTTAACTTGGCAATATCTGAAGAAAGATTCGTCATAATCATTCTTCTTTGTTGACCAGATTGAGTAATGTTAAAATCCACCCAGGATTCTCCACACGAGACAAACACTAACTGATTTCGTTCAAGATCTCTGAGAGTGAAGAGTTCTGTGCCATGTTCATCAAATACACGCCTTGCAGCAAATGGAAAATGAAGAGCTTCGGTACAGCGATCTAAGAACTATGAAAAAAACCCATAACGTAAATAGTTTAATAAATGCGTTAAGTTTTTGACTTTCAATAGGGGCGTTTACTGTTATCATTCTCGTCATTTGATACCGAACAAAAACACCAAATGGCTCATTACAGTAAGTTTCTTCTGCGTGGGCATTTTGACTGACCACTGGTCAAAAACCATAAAAGCAAGGGAAAGAACCAAAATATATTCTTGGCTTCGCAGTATCAGGCAACAAAACCACGTCACAGGTTTATGATATCATACCAATATTGGACATGCAGTGAGACCAACAACATCATCGGTTGCATGCGTCATAATTGGGGCTGCTTACCAAAAGTTAAGAAATGTGATCATGTCGATGTAAATATTGAAAATTTGGCCGATCATAATTCGCCAATGACTAGGTTAGACATTTGTCCGAAGGAAGCGAAATTGTTATAATTTACAGTTTGATAGCTTCGCTGTTTAGCAAAATAGAACAGATCATGTAGAAGAAAAAAAGTTGAACAAGTGGGGGCCATGGTACTGAGCCTAGGGGGATGGGTTTGCCCCGATCGGGAATAGAACCAAACCGTTAGGGTAAGAAGGGAATGTCTTATCGCAGATAGTCACAAACTAGATAGAAAACAGGTGATGTCACGACTAGAACGAATATAGTGAAGTTTACTGCATTTCTCTTCCATTTTCTATGTTTTTCGCATTCAAGTGGCTACATTGAGATTCAAAATGCACGTTTCGTTGTCTTTCAAACATACCTGTGCCACGGGAGAATTCGAATTCAATGCCTTTTCATACGGTTGCCCTTTTTCTTAACTTAATGGACATGTTCATTAGCTACAGTAGCCGACCTCAGCTGTCTTATCCAGGTCACACTTGCCAAAATTGTAGCGCAAGTGCTCAATGCAAATTTTTTCTTAGTACCCAAAGTGGAACAAAACAACGACGGAACCGCTGTTCATAGGAAGCCGCCAAGCGCTGAGTTTTACTCACGCTCCCTTTGAAAACAGTGCTCACACTGTTACGGCAAAATTGACGTTTCCAAACAATTTCGCTTCGGCATATAGTGAACACGACGACTATAATTTGACTTTTCTGCGTCGTTTCCAAACCGCTTCACCTTATAGTGTGAACGTAGTCTATAATATAGCACTTACCAGATTCACTTCAAGATCTCGGATATCATTTCGCGAAGACGGCAGTGGTGAGGTTTTTCTGAATGAAAAAAACACTGCATAATTAATAAGTGTGTTTCATGGTTGAAGGGCTTTGTAGGTGGAAATTATCGAATGTAAATTTCAGACGCGTTTATTAGACCTAACCAGGAACAGCGGCGAAAATGCAACTATACAAACTCTGGCAGGAATTGAACCTGCGATTCCCGTGCAGTGCTCTAACCAACTGAGGTACAGAGTGTAGTTGTCGAGCTCTAACCACAAGTTCATGTACACATACTATAAGCTAGGTACTGCCATGCATGTTAAAGCAGAGAAGGTGTATAGTTGCATTTTTCGCAGCTGTTCCTGGTTAAGTCTATTAAATTTACACTGGATAATTTCCATCTACAGTACAAAACCCTTCAATTATTAATCATCCGAGTGAGATGCCAACAGAATGTTTTTAATTCCAAAGTGTTTTTAATACATTGCAGTTGATTTTTTTGTCAACTTTTCAGAACCCAAAATTAAATACCCATGCAAGAAACTCTATATGATTGAACAGTTAAATATTTGGTGTGCGGCTGAAAATCTTGTATTATTGATTGGACTGCCTAGGAAAATTTTGCAAGCTTCTCACTACAAAAAGCAAGCCACGGTATGCTTCACCATACACTGGCAATTTTTTTTTTTGGAAGAACGTGTGTGTTCATTACCTCGCTTTCGTGGTGTTAACGCTTGACTTTCCACTGATATCCCTTGCCATCTAAAAATTCGTATCAGATTTTCAGCATAGTTCCTGCTTTTCGCTTCCGCGATGCCATATAGGCGAGCCGGGGAGGGACGGGATGTGGAGAAGGCCTTTCGAAAATCTTGGAAACCATTTTTGCCTAACAAGCGGCCCCAGGTTCTACATAATTATATGGATATATTGATATCGAAGATAATGTATATTGATATCGAAGGAAATTGAATGAAGATATATTGATATCGAAGGAAATACTTCCGGTAGTTCGGGAAGGTTACTTTTCTAAATTAGGACCAAGAACATAAGATGAGGAATTTCGCAAGGACTTCTCCAATCACACGGGAAAGCCTGGGACGAGCAGCCAAACAGTTTATTTGTTATTGTTTCATAAACTCACCAAGTGTAAATATTGAACTCATCAAAGAGAGGCTCGATGCTAGTGTGACCAGAGGCTCGGGCACCCAGGGTATGGTTTCCGTGACCGGAAAAGTAACCAGCTCAAAGACAAGAGGGAATATGTCAGAAAATGTCATAGAAATAATAGAATTAGATATAGGATGCGTATATGTCATAACGAATCATCCCTCCTTACTAATCCGCAATTTTTTTGAGAAAAAACAGCTTTGACTGAGAAGGAATGGAAGTATACGCACCGGTCTATACCCTTTAATAAGCACTCCTAATATTTCTGAAAGTATTCGCCACACAGCAGTACAGTACTTACATTTCCAAGGTCTGGCCCAACAACAGTAACAGCACGTTTAAGATCATGTTCACCATTCTTCAACACACGAAGTCTTACAGGTGGCCCTGAAATATAAACAGGGAGGTTAAAATCGTAAAATGTATATATTCTCACTTGGATTACAAACCCTAACATTCTAATATTAATTCAACCAAGTGAAGTGCAAGAAACCACATCATTCACGTCCACCTTATCAGAACCCGCACATCCGATTACCTATATATACTTGAACTTACGGTTACAGCTCAACAGCTGGCCTCTGTAGCTCAGTTGGTTAGAGCGCTGCACCGGAATCGCAGGGCCGTAGGTTCAATTCCTACCAGAGGACCTTGTGCTGCATTTTTCGCAGTCCTTCCTGGTCAGGTCTTAAAATGTATATATTCTCACTTGGATTACAAACCCTAACATTCTAATATTAATTCCACCAAGTGAAGTGCAAGAAACCACATCATTAAAATCGTAGGCATACCTCGAAACCTCTGTCAATTGGGCAACATCCTGTATAGGGACGGATGGCTAACGATGAGTGTGAATCTCAATAACAACGTGATAACAACAAACGATTTTGTATGATATGGCTGACAAAACTTCTAATTTCTAATTAACTGGACTTCAAAACAAATATTTTATTACATACTGTAAGAACGATAAAAACTTGAATATTTTAATAAATTTATTTTGTGTAAAATGTTACTAAAATATTGAACAATGAAAAATATATGGGTTGGGTTAAGATATCATCTTTCCAGAGTGCACATGCATGTATTATTATATATCAATAGTCAAAATCGCATTTTTCTAGTGTTTTATTGGTTGAGAGCATATCACGTGAGAGTGACGAAATTAGGCTGTCTCCCTCGCAACAGCGCGAGAGGGAGATAATACGTTATCGACGGCGAATAACAAAAAAAATCACGTGCGCCATCACGTGAAGATGCGACCTTTGGACATGCCTAGTAAGTAATTAAAACTTTCGCTTTAAGTAACTGCAGTGTAGCCAGTGTTTAATATAACGTTTTAACAATAAAATACTTCATGTATTTACGTTCATTTGTTCTTTAATTTGTTGTTTCTTTGACTATTGATATATAATAAAACACTTATTTACTGAGACCTCGGGAAAGCAGTGTGTTTTGTGGACCCTCGACCGTCGATGTTTTTCGCCTCGGGAAACATCGACTGTCTCGGGTCCCAAAAACACACTGTTTCCCTCGGTCTCAGTAAATAAGTGATAAATAGCTCCTCTCATCAAATATTCTATACACACGTAATATTCTCACATTGTCTTCACAAAATATGTTGGAACAAGCTTGTAACAGGGTGTAATAAGCCTGCATATCAAGCTGCAACAATGTTTTTAGTTTGATAATTGTCACAAGATTGTCCCTCACAACTTGTTAACAAATTTTGGATTATAGGACGATAACAAGTCGTTGGAACAACTTGGAACATGTCAGTTGAGGCAACGACCTTGTATCAGCCTACATATAAACATGCAGGCCTACATATAAACATGCAGCTCTATCTTGCGCGCTTTTACTGTCACTTGTAAACCTTTGGACAGTGCACATTGGACAACAAGCTTCGGTCCCAAGCACAAGGTGCCCGAGAATGCAATATGAAGGTTCCTCGATCTGCACAACTATACTAGAATATTTAGCTTTGAATCAATAACAATGAATTAAACATTAACAAAAAATGTCTACCCACTTCGCAATTGACTTGTCATCACGTCCCACGCTTTCCTTGCTATACTACATATATATGAAATATTCCAAGAACTGTTTCAAAATATAATGCAACAAGTCCCCAGTAATATCCTCAACCTAACATTTATAAGAATGTGTTTGAAATACACATGCTTGAATATGTGTTTGTTGATATAAGAACCGTCTGAATAAAATATTCATATGCCACCTGCCAGGTTTAAGCAAGGAAGGGATTATGTAATTAAACATTCAGCATTGCTCTAATCTTGCAAAAGATAGCGGTATACAGAGTCTATAAAAAGGGCGTCCTCTTCCATTGAAATGTAAATTTCGATAATACTAGAGTAAACCGTTTGTGTTTACACTCATTTTAAAGCTGACCAATCCGACTTTTTAACGGTTGTATACTAAATTTACATTTGAATGAAATTTTTGGCTAATAACAATATTGTAAGTGGCTGATATTGCAGAGTCAAAAACAGTGACATACAACAAATTAATACTTTAAAAATAATTTATTTTTGGGAGCAATTCATATGTTAACTTTACATGCACTACGGTTTCGGTTTAACCCTTTGCGATTCTATTTAAATAAAATGTTAGTTTGAACATATACCACCTGTCAGGTTATAAATAGGAAGGGATTATCTCATTAAACATTTAATATCGCGCTAATCCTTACAAACATGGCGGTCTTGTTTCTTTAAAGGTGTAACAAATTCTTTATTTGATATCGGATATGTTTATAATTTTATATTTCTCCTCTCATGTTATGTCCTCCGAAGGGGAGTTCACATAGAGGTTTAAGGGTGTTAACGAGTTTCCTGTTCCAACGTCCAATACAGCCTTCGGGAAAGTACGTACGTCACCTTAGAGCCTCGTTTTGATGATTGAGATGTTAGGTTTAACCATAGATATCTTATATACACTAGATAGTGCACCTAATTATTCTGCAATTCAAAAATTGAAGCCGTGATTGCAGACTCAGGAGATTCCCATGAAATGAGAGGACTCGTATGTTTTCTATTTCTTAAACAGGGAACTTAAACATTAAGTTAAACCTATTCCAAATACATTTTCAAACTATTCAAATGATGAAAGTTATTGTTGTTTTTAAAGCGTTTATTAGCGAATGGGAAACTCCAACATGGCCGCCATCTATTCAAATGGGGGTAACCGCTGGAATATTCTTGGCTTCAATTTTACTAAAAGAGATGCGCTATCTAGTGTATACAAGATAATCTATGGGTTTAACTACTGTCACAAACAGGAAAACATAGTCTGTCAAGATAAGATAGTCTGGAAGACCTACAGATTTCAAAGGTACAAAATAGAAGACTTTTGTTTGATGTTGAACTGCACCTTACCGTGTACAAATCCTTTGTCTCAACTTCATTAAATAATATTCATCGTAGTAGGACGATTTGGATTTATGAAATAAATTATATTAAGAACGAGCTGAGTGTACTACTTATAGAAACCCAATAAATTGTTCCCTCCGGGCTCTCCCTTGGAGCACAAATCCCTCACCTCCTGCTTGGAAACTTCTCTCCGAAGGATCGGAGTCCCTAGTCACAGCTCTCTAAATTGCAGTGGTTTACATTCCCTGGGCTTGTATGGGCTGCACAAATCAGCCACACCTTTTTTACTTAACGCCCGTCACATCTTTCGTACGTCTCTGCATAGACTCCCCTCCGTAACACGTACAGGTAGTTGCTATAGTTTTCACCGTATCGATCAGCCGTAACGCACTCCCCGTATATGTCTAGGGGTCAACCCACTGTAGCGATCCCGCCCCCTTCCTTACTCGATCATAGTCCCGTTGTGCCACTATAACCTTTGTCTTTTCCCGGTCGCTGCAAACTTATCCACATCCAACTAGTGTCATACACCACTGAGAGAATTATTGTCGTTCCAATTGAAGTGTTCTTTAAATATTGATTCAATACATTACCTCTGGCTGACCAATTCATTTGATCAAGTTCCTCGAAATATTCTTACACTTCCTAGTATAATTGTAAACTTCCTGTTGAATAGTTTAAATGCACCAATCACCTTTGTTGTTTGTGCAACTAACCAATCATAAATAGAAAGGAAGTGACCAGAAATGATCAAATTCTTGGAATTGGCTCTTTCACAGGAAGTGTATGAATATCTCAAGGAACTTGATGAAATGAATTGGTCAGCCTGAGGTAATGTATTGAATCAATATTTGAGGAACACTTCAATTGGAACGACAGTAGATATATTATAAAATTTCTAGACTCACCCATGCTTAATATTTGTTTCAGTTTCACAGGGGGAGCATTGCATATCAGGAAACCTTCCATAGGCCAATTAAACTCCTGCAACAAAAACTTGACACACAATATATTTTTTATTTATTCCCACTATTACTAGACCAGCCTTGATTCAATCTTGGTTACATTTTAACAGCTTCAATAATTCAGCAGAGTAATAATTCAGCGGAATAATTGGCAAACATGTTCGGAGGCACAAGCTTGTTGCTGCGGTCGGATCTTTCACGTTATTTGGCTCAAATTTGATAAGGCGGGGGGGGGGGGACTATTTCTGAGATTAGATCAGCATTTATTATTGCGTTTCTCACTCATTGGTGAGCGCAATTCCCAACAACATTTTGCCCAATTGATAGGGTACGTATCTACAATTTTAACGTCATTATGTAAGATTAGACGCGATAGTCTAGCCATTTACTGGCGTCAAAACAAAGGTACAGTATAGAACTTTCTCCTCAATTATTTAAGACCTTGAGTATAGTGGTCCGATCAAGAATTGAACCCGGGTCTCCAGTATGAAAGTAGGGTTGGGCAATATTAAAAAAATCATCTCAATATTATTGTCGTGGAAATTATCACGATATTTGATAATATCGCGATAAATGCAATAAAAACAATGAATTTTAATTTTAATTAATATCAAAACAATAGTAAGCTTTATATGATCTTATTAAAAAACAAGTAAAACAACAAACTAAAGTAGTATGAAGGCTTTTTCTAGTCTAATATTGACTGTTCATAAACCAGAACTGTCTATGCAGTGTCTACTGCGTCCTCGTTGGCACAAATGCCGTTGACACACAGCAAAGTCTGTAATTTCATTGTTCAGCGGATTAATACATAAATATTAGCTTTTGTATCGTATTACTGTAAATTCGTATTCAATTCAGGAAATAGTTTTAATTCTTTTTAAAAACTATATTTTCTGGGAATTGAAAGAATTTTTTTAGGATTTCATAAAAGCTATGCGAAGCAATATCACGATAGTCATCCAGCATGCATGACGATAATTTCGATATAGCTATCGTCGCTCAAGTTTCTCGCGATTGAAAATATCGTGATAAATCGAAATATCGCCCAACCCTATATGAAAAGCATGTGTGGTGACCACGACACGACAAGTGCTGGTTCAAAATATATACAGGGCGGTCCTTGAAACGTTATGCACATACAAATCACTAAATGGTTGAATTTCATGTTTTCTCCTGACAAAGCACAAGGAAGTGGGGTGTGCTAATCATCCTTCCTTGCAATTAACTGAGAGCTAAGCTGAATTGTGAAGGACACAGCTCAACTGGATTGAGTCGAGGGCTTTCTAATGATGTCCCTATAGTTGTCACCATGTGAGTCGTGCCTGATCGCGGAGCACATACAAGCCAGAAAAACAAAAACGCAGAACATGTAACACAGCTATATAAGACTTGTACTGATGCAGTTTCAGAACTTTGCGATCACAATGTGCTCGCACTTCTTGTTCCCTGAGCTTGCGGACATGTTTTTAAAAGCTTGTTGACAGATTGCTAAGTTGTTTCAACAGCTTCTTATACATAATCGTGCAATTCAAGAACTTGTCAACAAGTTGGCAACCTTGTTGTAACTTAAAATGACAACATTGTTGCAAGTTGTTGACAAGCTTGCTTTTCAAGGCCGTTGACAACACATGACATGACTTGACATCCTGTTAGTTTGAGATGTATCCCACCCAAACAATATTAGAAAAAATTCCTGTTGGAGATGAACATTCTCTGTGGGAGAAAACTGGAGTGTCCGAAGAAAACAAACGAGTTTTGTAAAAAGAGTTGACAGCTCTTTCCACAGAAGTGTCACGAGTCCGGCAGTATACAGTGGAAATTGAATCAACGAGGTGAATAACAAGACACAAGCTAGTTTTATATTTAGCATTCAATCAAATGTCTCATAAAAAATGTCAATTTCATATAATAAAAACAACGATGTAATAAAGTTACAATAAATATAAATATATCATTATCCAATTAGTATTAACCAATCAAAATGATACATTAATATGGCGTGATATACTCATGCTAGAAATAGCCAATCAGAGGTACAGGTTGTAGGACACTAACATTTTGAAAAACAAAAAAAAGCCAGCTTTCTTTGTTTTTTTGAAAAGTCGTAGTGAGGACTACGAGATTTCTCCACGATTTCGTACTCAAATGGGCAACGGCTACGACTTTTTCGCGTCAGTGCGCGTAAGCATACAGCATGCGTTTAGCTTGACAAATCTAGTACTCGTAGTCGCTGCTAAAGCTCCCTAAAAATGGCCTGATCGCAGGTTACCAGGTTAGAGGCCCTTGTGCTACTCGCCTGTCTGTGTATCTGTTTGTATGTCATTTCTGACTGTCTTCTTTTCTGTGTGCGTTATCTACCTGTATATATCTGCCCGTTCTTTTGTTTCTATTAATTTTGCAACCTCCTACCTCATTTAAAGTGCCATCTTGGTTAACCGGCCATGACAATGCTTTACGGTTCCATGCTGGATTGGTAATCTGAGAAAATTTCCATTGTCCAATGTTACTCAAACTTTCCTGCTTTATCGCCCACCTATTTACCAAAGAAACAAAAGTAATATTACAGGTTAGAAAGGTTCCCAATTTTGTTACTTTCGTATGGCGACAGGTTGTGTAATCGTTTACCTATCTCCGCGATCATTCAACTTGGTACCATCTTTTTGACATGGCCATCTCAGGAAGAAAAGGGTTGATTTGTTAAGCGTGCAAAAACTTTAGCACTAACCATTTTTATTGTACACAAAGTGTCAAAGCTCGTGTTTTCTTGCATCACATTGGACAAGAGTGTCTCAAAATCCAACTGTTTCCTGGCAACAGCTGTGACACTTTTATTCATCGGTGAGTCACAAAACCATCGAGTTATAAAGAAAACATTATAGAAGTTTCCCGGGCGTTCTTTTCGTTGCAACTTGGTACATAATAAAATATTTAGACTATAGGACTTATGGGAAACAGTACCTCGGATGCACAGAACATGCTGCACTGTTTCCCTCTGATTCAGTCAATAAGTGACAATTCAATGTCCAACATCATGCATTTAGTTAATTAAAAACCTTAAACGTATAAACAGTTTTCTAATAATAATTTTGTTGAGGTGTTTTCTAAATTTGTCACAAGCGACAGGTAAGCAGTTTTTATGCCTGTCGATTATGAAAATCACCTCGACAGGTAGACAGCTGGCTGTTTCAATCCCTGATATCATAATCTCAATTGGACGAAATTCCATCCATATTGCATAAAATTTCAGTGGAAAAGGAAGAATATGCCTTGTCATATTCTTCCAACATGGCTACAGTGACATGAAATAAAACACGCATAGACTGCCAGCAAATTGTGTAGTGTTCGTGCACAATCAATAAATGCACTAATTATGTATAAATAATTTCTTCTCCGTCTATTCTTTTGTACATTTCTCATACAATATCAATCGCAATTGAACCAAAATGTTGTATGCTTGAGAAAATGCATAGTGTTTCAGCTCATTCAATTTTATTTCATTTTTGGCAAGTTTCGAAACAATTATTTAAAGAAGAAATTTCGATTCACTTGCCTTCCGTCTACATCATCACCAACGTATATATTGCAAAGTGGAGGGCGGCGGAGGGTAATTTGCGAGTTGGGGCCATGAGTATGTCCTAAGAGAGTTGGTGCTGAAGAAACATTTTTGCATGGGAAAGGGCATATTTCCTACTATACTGGCACGATTCCAAATGATCAATTGTTTCGTTTTATAATAAGCTTCCTCCGCGTGTTTCCATTTCACCATAATTTAGGTTATGTTTTCAAATTTTTAAATAACACTATATAGGCAATGAAATACTTTGCTTACCTTTGTGTTCCAATAGCTGGATGTTTAGCAGGCAGTTTAGGTAATAATGCCACGCTGTATTTCTCTCCACCATAAACATCTTTCATGGAAGATAAGCTTTCAACAATGGCTTCTTTATTTTCTTCAGTAGAATTATTCTCTATAACACCTATTACATTTCAGAAACACTGATATTTAGCAGCTATTCTGCGAACTCGAGCCGCATACGAGCTGCTAGCCGACGAGGTGCGTAGCAGAGTCATATTCGACGAGAGTAAGTAGAAACCTGTTTTATTATATAGGCTCGGGGACTAGAAATACATAAACCCAACCAGCCCTGGCCCCCAATTACTGGATAATTGGTAGACCACTACGAACATTATCATTCCAAAGTGCTGGCCTGCTACGAAATACCATCCATGAAAGGTTTCACCACCTTCGTCGGGAAGGACCTTCGGCCCTGAAGGGTTATACATCGACCAGGGCAAAGTATTGCCAATCAAATAGTTATCTTTAAAACTGTGGCAATTGATACACCAGGCGGAAATCTTAGTTTAAAGATAAAGAGCAGAGCCCAGCAAATAACTTCAAATCCAAACATAATAAAAGTAAAAAAAGTTTATTAGCTAACGTTTCGTTGTTTACAATACAACATAGTTTGATGTAACCGTTTTTGTAATATTTTGTAAATATATATATCATACCCTGTAAATTGTAAAACCAATGTAAAACCAATATATGTAAAACCATTATTTTGTAAATACATATATCATACCCTGTAAATTCATTTAGATTGCTCTGAAGATGATGTATTGTAAACAACGAAACGTTAGCTAATAAAAATTTTGTACTTTTATTATGTTTGGATTTAAAGTTATTTGCTGGGCTCTGCTCTTTATCTTTTTATCTTGATTGAAAATTATTTGTTGGCGATAAATAAACATTTTAAACTACTACGTGTTCCTACCAAATAACGCTCGCTGTTTATCTTCATCGTCGAGCACTTGATGGTTTTCATTTGCAATCCAGGTTAAGACAAGCGAAGGATTACTCTCGCTGCAAATGTCTCCGGTTGGAGTGAACTTCCAAATCCGATTTGGATCTGTTGTATTTCTGAAAACAAAAGTACATAAATTGATTGTTCAAGGTTAAAAAATAGTCGAGGATAAAAATTTCGAGGGGAAACTATGTACATCTTTAGACCTACAGTAACCCTGTTAGCGAAAACTGCTGAACTTTCGGGAAATAGAAGCTCTCTGAGAAGCCAATCAGATCTCTCCCTTTAGTTGTCTAACCCGGAGCCTAATTTTCAATGGCTCTGGGAACGAGAATGCTGCTTATTCTAATTCTTCCAATCTCAGCTACATGTTACCATTCAACCGAAACTTGTCCCGGCGACGAAGAATGCGTCATTTGGATGCTATGTAGTGGGAACTCAAAATTGGCGTATGGGAGCATGGAAATCCAACGCATAACTCTTGATATGATATGATATGATATGATATGAATATGATATGATACTACTATTTCAATGTCGTACCGTTTTGAAAATTTCAAAACAAAACCCTCGAGTGACGTTCCATCGTGATAATTCACATTCACTTTGACGTCGCTCATACAAAGACACAATTGAGGGAAAGATCGACAAGTAATGTGACCATTCTGAAAGAAAAAAATACAAAACCAGAACTTAACTTTTTATCAACTTGAGGGCAGTAAGCCATGACTGCATTCCTCCACCAGCATGCTAAAGCCTGGTTTCCATATATGGTCGTAACGGTCGTAAAGATTGAGTCACGATCTTTCTCATCAGCCGTAACACAACATTTTAGAACTGAAAGAGTGTGACTCTACATGTAGTTTTACGACATATCGAAACCAGGCTTTATGCAGTATAATTGATTTCTAGCACGTGGACAAAACTAATTCGTGTATATTTGTGCACAATATATTGCGAGTGAATGGGATAATATCATGTAAATTCACTACATTGATCATAAAACTTGCGAAAGGATACTGTATGGGGCAATTTCTAAATATCCCAGTACGCACAGGACCTCTGGTTCTAAATATACCTGGAATAAGAATTCAGATATTTGGCCAATGCAAAAAGTGAAGCCAAGAATACCGGAAACTGACGTCCGAAATGTACAAAGACCGAAGAAAACCGTTTTCGTACAATTTTTCCAGCCAATCCCGTTTTTTTCTAAAGCATCATGACGCTAATCAAGCTAGATATCAGTTCATAAAACCATAGTATTTGTCTTTACATCGAAATTAAAACATGAAATTTCGGCTTACTTCTTTGCAGCTTCGTCTTATACCTAGCTACACCACAGCCAGCCCATCCCGGACATTATTGCAGTTATGTATTAGCATTACATATAAAATGTATAGCTCAGTGTTGAAGCCTGTGATTTGTGGGCTAACGCGCGTGTTGAATAAACAGCAAAGTAGTGAAGGGTCGAAACATCAGCGAGTGCCGGAATGCAAAGCACAATATCAGTGTGTGTAAACAAAAAGGTCAGAGTTTTATCATGTTATAAGGTCCACTAAGGCTTGTTCTTTCAAATCGTCCAGTTAAAACCTTCCAAATAGTTGCTAATAATGATAACTTTTATGTAAACACATAATTACGTAAAACACAATTTGAAAATCAGCAATCGGCCGGATGGGGAAATTTCAAACAAACATTTGAATTAATTAACTTACCAGCCAATTGTAGGCCTAATATTTTCGGGATTTTTCAAATTAGTTACAGATGATCAGTTTGTAATTAGAAAGGTAATTTCTGAAAGAATGTCTTTTGTTGAAATTTATAGAAACGTCGATAATTTGTGAATGTCACAGCAACCTATGGAACACATACTGTAATTCCGCCACTCGTGGATGTTTCAACCGTTTATTATTTTCTCTACTGTTTATTATACGCGCGCGTTAGCCCGCATCCAGCCCGCAAATCGCAGGCTTCAACACTGAGTGCACATTCTACAGTATATGTAATGCTAATACATTACGTCAATAAGGTCCGGGAAGGGCTCCCTGTTGCTACACATGTTATGGTTCAACTGCAATTTATCGCGATGTAGAGCGCCTCATTTGGATGCGCAGTGAAAACTCCGAATTGACTTATTATATATAGTAATTAGTGATTTCTTACCTGATGTATTAGCCATTGCTGGCAGTCGGACGGCCACATGCTATTGTCCCCTTTTGGTAGCTTTCCCCCCACAGAAAGATCAGGAAACAATATGAGATCCAAATTACTTCTATTCTGAAGAAACGTGTTATTTTCACGTATCTGAAACAGAAGTGATATAGGAAAGCATTATCAAAACAAGAATAGATAAAGGAAAGACAGTCCATATGAACTCAGGTATACTGCAAGTTACCTGGTAGGTTAAACATTCAACTAACCGGGAAACTCGCCTTTAGTAATATCAGCATACCTTTGTTAACGCATACGAAATTCAGTCTGTGTTCATATGCGAAACAAGGTAACACGGCAAGGTGGGATCCCAGTCAATATGATGGCTTTGTTACACCTGACTAGGATCGACATTTTTTGCTGATTTTGACCTATGTTAGTATCGAACAGCATAGTTGGAAAATACAAAGTAACAAAAAATCCACCTTAACAGACATGAGCATACACCACATGAAATTCGTAATACAAAGTGCAGTTTGTTTAATTTCATTCAAAAATCATTAATAATTCAGGAGGAAAACACAAAGAAAAAAAATAAGCGTGTCGTGGTTTTATATGTGATAAAAAAATAACGTTAATTTACATAAACTTTAGCTTTGATTTTCTCGGTTTAGACAAAATTTATTTTAAAAATTACTTCGCCAATGAACTCGTATAAGATGAGCCGTTTTTGAAGCTATTTAAAGCACTTGTAGTCGTGTTTTATCACATATAAAACACTCCGCTATGCGTCGTATTTTATATGTGATAAAACACTCCTACGCGTGCTTTAAATAGTACATAAAATACATTTCGAAGACGCGATGTTTACATAGTTTTACATACAGGGGCCGGTTGTATAAAAACGTAATTAGCGCTAACTGTAGTTAGCGTTAATCACTGTAGTTAAATCCTTAACTGTAATTAGTTAACTACATGACTTAACTGTGTTGCACAAAACGTAGTTAGTCGGATAGTTAACTAATCACGTAGTTAACTGTGCGTGGGGCGTTTAAACACAAAATTACATAAAGTAAGCAGCGAATACCGCTGACACACATTTTCAACATGATTGTGGACTCGTATTTTGCAAATAGGCGGGAATTTTATTCAAAACACTAGAAAAACAATGAAAAATATACAAGGAAACAAGGAAAAACCGCCACAAAAATCATAAAAGAATGCAGTTTTTCCTTGAAATGCCTATGTTAAACCAAGGTAATGCTGTTTGGCAATTATATATCAGTGTTTCTTGGTGTAATGGACCATACTTCGTCTTCGAGAAATCGTCCTGTGCAAAAATATGTTCTGTTTTCGTAAAAACACCAAAGCGATAGCGTTTGAAGAGTTTATATTGTCAGGAAACATTCAAAGGGAAGATACCGATTGAAAATCTCAGGTAACCGTTGCTTTTCATTGTTGTTTTACTGAAAAATGTTGTTCACTCCTATACAAACGCCATTTTTAACTACGTTTTGGACAGTTAACTATACCCTAAAGCATAGTTAACTTTAACTACTTTTTAACTGCAGTTAAGGCTAACTACACTTTTATACAACCGGCTTAACTACGTGATTAAAGTTAACTATTTTTTAAGGCTTTTTAACTACTTTTTAACTGCAGTTAGCGCTAACTACGTTTTTATACAACCGGCCCCAGGATATGTCGTCCCACCAGGATTTTATAAGGTAATGAGAAATTGTAAATTAATCGATATAAAAATAGCTACAGTATAAAAATGTTTTCTTAATTATATTGTAAAGGAAATAGAAAACACTTTTCCCTTTGTTTCTATACAGTTACATAGAAACACTTTTGGCAATTTGGTAGAGCTCGAAATAACGTGTAATACAACTGGCCCTTCGGGCTTGTTCTCTCACCGATTATTTCTCGTTCTCCCTCAAACTCCCAAGAAACAAGGAAAATGTTTTCTATTTCTGACATACCTGTGAGCACTGCAATCCTCGAGTATAAGCCAGCTTTTCTTGTTGCCCCATATCTAACTCAATCACTTCATATTTACAATCTGAAGGGTAACTCTCCACAGTCCTCCATAAACTGGCGCGGTCTTTTCCGTAAACATCATCTTCGTTCAAAGTTTCTCGTTGGATTATTTTCTTTTCATTCCAGAGAGAAAAACATTTAGTTTTATCGAATGACAGTTGAAGGGCGTACGCTATAAAAATTTTAAAATGAATAAAATTAACCCAGTATATAAATTAATAAAATCAACCCAGTATATGCTGATTAAATATGCCCAAACTAATGTATATCTGGTACAATTTGTACAGTGGGTGCGCACCCCTCTAGAGAAGTTCAGCAACACCCTAAAAAATCTTCTTGACCATACATTTTTCATGGTATACTTACTATAAGGTGATATAAATTTCTCGCCAAACGACAACCAAATACAATCATCAGTTTCCAGTTCATATACATTAACGACTTCTTTTCCATTATCTTTATATATCCTCCTGGCAAGCGGGCGTCCAGCAGGTCTGTTACCTTGTCTCATTACTTGAGCTGTGATAGTGTCTAACAGTCTTCCCAGTAAAACATTGCGATTGTCAGATACACCTTTGGACGCCTCGTGAATGTTAAAATATACAATCACTTCATCGTCAACTTTGCCATTTTCATATACCTATTTTTAAGAGAAGATATTTGTGTGTTACCTGTACGTATTTGTGTGTAATCACCTCAGGCCCGGTGATTATCGTGAATAAAAACATCGACTTCGTCTCGGTTTTTATTCACCGAGAATCCCCTCGCCTTCGGCGAATAATTGTTAATTATTACTTTATCACGCGTATATTTATTAAAGAAAAAGTGTTTAATGTTTCTCGGATCCTACATTTGCCTTTTCTTTATATCCCTCAAAAAGTGCATGAAAGCACTGCGAAATTTGACCGTACATTACGACCGTATATTATGTATGCAACATAGATATCATACATACACTAGATAGTGCATCTATATAATTATTCTGCAATTCAACACTTGAAGCCGTGATTGCAGACTCAGGATATTCCCATGAAATGAGTAGATTCGTATGTTTTCTATTTCTTAAACTGGGAACTTAAACATTAAGTTAAACCTATCCCAAATACATTTTTAAACTACTCAAATGATGAAAATTATTGTTGTTTTTTTTAAGCGTTTATTAGTGAGTGGGAACTACCAACATGGCCGCAATCTATTCAATTGCGGGTAACCGCTGGAATATTCTTGGCTTCAATTTTACTAAAAGAGATGCGCTATCTAGTGTATACAGCTATTTCAACTAAGGTTGTCCACGAGCAAAGCGGTAAAGTCGAATACGAGCGCGAAAGGCTGCTGGCCCGGGAATCGCTTTGAAAATTAATTAATTTGTTAGCGACTCCCAGCAGCCTTTCGCGCTCGTATTCGACTTTTCCGCTTTGCTCGTGGACAACCTTAATTGATATAGCTGTATAAGATAACTATGTTATGCAATAACAAAGTATACGAGGTGAAAAAAGTATCCGAACCTAGGAACTTATTTCCCAGAATGACCATGCCTTTTGCAGAAAATTTTTCACAAAAAGATTAACAAAAGTAGCTAGAAATGACAGAAGTACAGAACTCAGATACCCTAGTCTAGACAAAACTCTTATAACCACTGAATAACAAAGAGTAACACTCCAATCTGACTAATTTGTCCAATGACCAATCAACAACGAACCTTTATTCTTAAAAATATATTCAAGGAAACTATTTTTTTCAATTGGTAAATACCTCTTTCTGATCTTTCATGAGTGTCATATTGTTTTGAATAATTAATATGCTTCGCACGCGATAAAATTTCACAAAAAATTAGGTCGCATGTGCACTGTTCGTCCTTCTAAAGGCTAGACAAATATCGAAATACGTCAAATGAATTCATATGCAAATTAGTTGCTTGCCAAGGGAACAAGTCACCAAACTGAACTCCTAAAATGGCTATTCTTTTGATTAACACAAAACAAAGTCCAGCTCTTATTCTTCAAAATAAATAAATATTGGTATGGTCATATGGTATGGGTAATATAGGTAGAAATTATTTTCAATATTATTTTGTGCATCTCAACCGCCAGATACATAGAAAAAGGTTGCTAACTCAGCAAACTACAAAATAAAGCTAAAACAAAGTAATTTTGAGAGGAACGCCAAAAAAATTTTAGGTTTTGAACACTTTTCATTCCAAATATGCGACATTGAAAAAAATTGCCTCTTAAACATATGCAGTAAGACCTTAGCTAACCAAAATCGTGGCAGAATATACCTTTAAACGTATTCCTTTCTTCCCAAGTAGCCTGCTGTTCTCTTCAATTTCTGTGATGTTTTGAAACTTAAATGAACTATGACTTGTCCCGACCATCTCTTCTTCTTGTTTCTTCAAACGCAATCGTTTCTTTCTTGATTTCAACTTGGGTATTACAGTTTCAAGGTCATGGACTTTCTTACAGACCTACAAAATAAAATGTATGGAGCTACAAGTAATGCAAGTATTGAAAGAGTGATTTCTAACGTGTCTAATTTTGGACCGCATCGCAAAAAAAATTGAGAGAAATATAACTCCTTGCTTTGGGTTGCTTTTACCCGCTAATCTAAAAGTCGTCGCCTATGGAGGAGGCCACTCTTGCCTTCAATGGCTCAGAAACATTTCAAAATTAATTTCCGAACCTTTTTATTTTACAAAGAATTAGTAAGAAAATGTATACCTGTTCTAGTTCACATTTCGTTTCTTCTTCCGTAAATGACATAACTTCCACAGAAACACCCTCGGTGGCGTTATCAAGTTGTGATTGTAGCTATAAATGACGTGACAAAACAGTAATCATTAAATATTTACTGACTTTTTCGACGTACGTCGGCGACAGTAATAGATGAAAGTATATTAGATGCTGTCCTCGTTCTGTTTACAACAGCAAATCACAGATTATCACGTCTTGTATACAACGGCATTTCAAGCCAGGGTCTTTTCTAAGAATTCCTCAGTGGTGTTGGTGGTGGTGTGTGGGGGGTCTACACAAAGGGGCCACAATATGGAGTGTGGAGAGACTACAGATGCATGGTTGTAGGTGACAAAAAGGTGTGGTGTCGTGTGCAATAGAAAGAGTTATGCGGCCATTCTCCACTTCTACATGAAACAGATTTTAGGGTATACATCGTTTCATTATACTGAAGATAAACAAAATCTTCAGTTAAGTATACTTGCACGGTATGGTTATGTAAATACCACAACTTGTTCAGTAACTATTTTAGCCTTATAGCCTTCCAACAAGTCAGACAAATATATAGGGTCTGGGATATGCTATTCACTGGAAATTTATAAAAAGCTGAGGTATTTACAACACAATTGAAAATAAAAGACATGACATAAGATTCACAAAGTAAGAATCAGTGTCTATAGAATATCAAACATCCTTAGTTTCTAAATTCCAATTTTTCTTCCAATGTTTTGCTTAATTTCAGAGAAAGCGACCTTGACTGGAGGAGCCAAAATGGTCAACTGGGGAAGAGAGAGGCATGCACTTATCAAACTTTTATTTTGTTAGTCTAGATCTCAAATGTCCCCTGTAACAATTTGTGACTGCCATCTCTCGATCATCAACTCTAACTCTCGTTTGACCGAGACTGGAAGTTATGTTTCGCATTTGACAATTGCGGTGCCCAAACAAAGTTAGGCGTTGCTTAAAATACGCGGCGTGAGTTTATCTGCAGTCTGTTATAGTTTGTCAGTCTGTTAGTTTTATTATTAGTTTGTTGTTAATCTGTTAGTTAGTCTGTTGGTTAGTTAGTTTGTTCGTCTGTTAGTTTGTTAATTTGTTTGTTTGTTAGTCAGTCTGCATGTTATAGTTGGTTAGTCAGTTTGTTAGTACATGTTCGGAATAATAATTTTCGACATTTATTCAAAATTATGTGTTCGATCTTGAGGTATAGACTTGCTACCATTATACCTGATTTTCATAATTTTTCGCTTCTTTCAATCTTGCTTTTGTAGTATCCAACAAGGTATCGACGAAACCGTAAGGACCTTTAAAACTAAACTTTTCTCCGCCTCTAGTCACCCATAATGGTCCAATGACAGTGTTTGATGTCGTCTGCAGTATACTGTCAACCACAGGAACTAAAAATTAAGGACATTTTCAAGTAAGTTATCGTGCTCATAGACAAACACACACACAGAGACAGAAACACGGATAGGAACATAACCTCCTGAAGCCGGTGGAATAAAAGGCTTCACTACTTTTTAACTACCCGTACGTATACGTTTTGCAGTCAAGTAGTAGTTAACTCTCAAATACTAGATTCTGATTGGTTAACTTTTGCACTAACGGTAGTTAGTATAATTACATAGGTGATTATTGACAATTCTCCACGCTGATGGGTTGCCGTTGAGGTGGTTTAATATAACGCGATAATAACCTATGCGATTTTCGAAATGGCGGCCGAGGCCGTTTTGTCAATTCAAATTAGGAGGAAGTGTGTATTTTTTTTCTCTAAATAATCACTTATGAAATTATACTTATCTAAAACAATTATTCACCTCAGGCTCGGTGATTATCGTGAATAAAAACCTCGACTTCGTCTTGGTTTTTATTATTATTATTAAATATATTTACTGATTTTGTAACCGAAGGTTAAATTACATCAGCTATACTACAAATAATTAAATATAAAGGAGTAAACTACTATTTACAATTTAATTTCGAAATAATTTGTGGTAAGAAGGATTTTCTAAAACGTTCTGTTTTACAATAATAATTATTATATTTACAATTTCCCCTCGTATCATAGACCGAAGAGGATTTATTAGGTAAAAATTCATCCAATTTTTGAAGGTTCTCATCTCTCAAAAAGAACTGTTCGCATAAAATCTCATGTCGTTCCTTCAAGGATGGAATATTAATAAGTTCACGTGCATCGTTATAGCTAAGTTCTGGTAAAATAATTTTCAAAGCTCTTCTTTGAACCCTTTCAATATCATCACTCAAATAACCTGGAATGTTGAAGTGCCAAACTTGGCAAGCGTATTCTAAGACTGGCCTTATAATAGTGGTAAATGCGATGGATAACATTCTAGTGTCAGCGTTGGCTCGTTTCAATAACCTGAGCATATACAATCTTTTGCCAGATTTCTTAACAATTTTATTAACGTGTTCATTCCAATTCATTTTGGTTTGGATCGTAACGCCGATAATTTTATTCACCGATAATCACCTCGCGGCTTCGGCGAATAATTGTTAATTAACTTTACCTATACTTGTTTATCCAACCGGACCATGGCGGAGGTACGAGGTAATTTATAATACATTTTCGGTACCTTGTGAGAAATTTGCAATTTCTGTTCCGTCCCAGTCGTACAGAGCTTTAGCTCTTGACTGAAATTCCAACTTCTGAGTGCAGTCATCAAGAAACTAAATTTTAGAAAAATAAGTTTTTGTGGTTGATTGGTTTATTGGATAAAATTTTCCACATGCAGACTTTATCCCACCTGACCCAAATGGACATGTAAGGCCACTTTTGACCTATACTGTAGTACTGAACGGCATAGTTGGATAATACAAACAAGAAATAAACATTAATACACCTAAACATACTATCAAAGTCGTAATACTTATACAAGGTTTGTTTAATTACAACAAAATATATTTCGAAACATACAGTAATGTCGTCCCACCGACGCGGGATACGTCACTATTTAATCGTGAGACAGCAGTTAATATCATTGATAGTTTAGTTTTTGGTAAATTTTATTACTGATAACAATTCCTCAGTTTGGTCATCAGCCTCAATAAGTAATATAAAGAAGAGGCAGTGTGTCCAAAATTTTGCCGCACGCATCGTCACAGGAATGCGCAAGTATGATTACATCACTCTGTATTTGAAGGATTGAAATGGTCGAAAATGGCCTTGCCTGTCTATAGCAGACATCGACAACTGTCCTTGCCTGTCTATAGCAGACATTGACAACAGTAATTGTCTTAACTTCCTGTTTATTTTTATATATTTTTAATTATATTATATTCTGTTTTGCGATTTACATATTTTGTTTACACTTTGTTGTGATTAAATCCATCTAATTGGTTTATTTTTTGTCACGTGATGCTTTCATGCTCTTAGTATAAAAGCCCGTGCATTTTCCCCAATCCCTGCTACTAACTCTTGACGAAGGGCCTTCGCTCGAAACGTCGAGTTTCTGCTTATTTTTTAAGGTAGTAATATAACCACTCAGCACAGCATTTTCACTTTGGTACTACCAACACTGGTACAGACAGTTTTAGTAACTTTATTTACGTGATGCAGTTCTGGCGTTTAAATGTATCAATGGTTTTGCCCCCACTTATTTACATGTAAGTGAACATTTCTACAGAAGAGGAGCTCTATGTATACGGATCAAAAGTGACTATTTGTTTATAGGGCATCAAACATATGGAACTCCCTTTGTTCTGAACTCAAACTTTTTACGTCCAGCGGGGTTTTAAACGCTGTTTGAAAAAACAATTATTAGAATAATTTTTAGGATAACTAATTTTATGCACAATAAAGTTTATGTATAAACAGTATAATCTGTTTTAGTTATCACATCATTGAAATTAAATAATGCAATTTCATAGTTTTTTTTAAATTGTAAATTAGATATGAAAAACCCTTCGGAATAACTAATAACTTGTATGTATGTGTGTATATTAGGTGGGATAAAAACACAATTATATGAACACAGAAATAATTTATCCAACTCATGGGAGCTTTCCAGCAAGCCAGGATCATAAGAACAAGCCAATAATCGGGGCTTTCAAGGAAATACTAATTCCCAAGGACTTTCCAAGCCTGGATATAATTAATTTGAAATTCAATGACTTTCCAGGAATTTTAAAGCCCGTGGACACCTTTACGATACCTCTTGAAAAGTATTCGTAATAATTTCCTTTCCTTTGGAGTAATCTTCATTCTCATAAACCAAAACTCTTTTTTGCTGTTTCTCCACCAACACTTTCATTCTTTTTGACAAGGATGGCCTGGTTTTACCACGAGTCTCGCTTTCAGGGAAGACAATCCCGTTAATGGTCCACGTTGACATTTGACTTAACTTTTCCTTTTCTGAATAAAAAAAATTCTCAAATGCATTAATAATTCATTAACCATAAACAAAAGAAACTACTGTGCCTTCTATGTAGCCTACGCGGTAACCCCCCAGAAGAAACACGTTTCGTGAGGGTCTAAGCATCAAGGAAGAAAAAGGCCAGTCTGCGTCACATCCGTGTCGAGTTTTGGGTAAATTAATTTTAGTTTATTCAAATTTCAATTTTTGACGGAATTTGTATCAATTTTCAAGTTTGGCTATAAAATTGAACATACGTAAAGAGTGCATGGACCATCTTCTCCATTTCTTCTCTTCTCACAAAGCCTGTCTGACGTTGTTAAATAAACGAAGACACTTCAAAGCGACGGTAATATCAGCTAAACAAGACTATAACGTTCACGAAACAGCACTAAAATACTAAATACAATTACCATGTCACTGAAAGTCAAGCGAAATGTCCCGAGAATTGATTCGCTGACATGCGAGAAAACTTATTCTCCGCTAGTGTTTGTGTGAAATGGACGTTTTCTCCACTGAAATTGGATAACACGCAGTATATTTTAATAAAAGTTAATTTACTCAGAGCGAAAACAAATATGACGTAGGCTACGCATGCTCTTTTTCGTCGATACGTAGACCCTCACGGGAAACGAAATGACATACAGTGTATACACAGTACATTATAGGCTACCTTCTTTGTCGATTACTCACCAATGTATTTTCCAAAGGGATCTTTAAAACGCTCGCCACATGATATATAAATATCAGCATTTTTTTTAATCTGATGAAAGTCTTTTACTAAAGTGCCGTCCGAGAGGAACACCTTTCTTGCAGCTGTGACCAAATGAAGCTTTGCTGTGCATAATTCCAATATCTGAATGTCAAACAATGAAATTGAGACCCAATAGACCTTTCCCCTTATAACCAAAATTTTGATCTAGGCAAGTCTAGACAAATATTTCATCACTGCTTGAAAGAGCATCACAAAATTAGTAATATTCCAAGGTTTCGTTGCGAAATGTTGTAAAATGAGGAAAATAGAGCCTTGCGAAGTTTGCAATTTTCAGTCATTTTGCATTACAAACGGGAAATTGCAGCCCCAACACCCGAATCGTATGTCAATTTTCCGTTTGTAATACAAAATGACTGAAAAACGGCAAACTTTGCAAGGCTATATTATCCGCATTTTACAAGATTGTGCAACAAAACTTTGGAATATTACTAATTTTGTGATGCTCTTTCAAGCTGTGATGAAATTTTTGTCTAAATCGAAATTTTTGTTATAAGGGGAAAGGTCCATTGAAAAAGCTATACTAAAAACATTGTTGGAAAAAATATTGGAACAGTTTTTAGAATATTGTTATAAAAATGTTGTGTCCTCAGGAAACATTGTTTACTAGCCATATTTCCTGAAGGTGGAAACATTGTTTCCTAGACATGTTTCTCGAAAGTGGGCAAACCAGGAAACATTGTTTGCCAGGTATCACAAAGGTGGGTGTACCAAGAACCACTGTTTCCTAGCCATGTTCCCAGAAGGTGGACAAACTAACCAGGAAACTTTTTTTTCTATAGCCAACTTTCCCGAAGATGAACAAACCAGACAACACTATTTCCTAGATACTGTATGTTTCTCAAAGGTGGACAAATAAGAAAACATTGTTTTTTGGTGATGTTTCCCGAAGGTGATCAATCCAGAAACCATTGTTGCCTAGACATGTTTCCCGAAGGCAAGCAAACAAGGAAACAGTCTGTTTTCTTACACATGTTTTCCAAAGATGGACAAACCAGGAAAGATTGTTTCACAAATTTTTAATAGCTAATTCATGAACCAAAAACAGACTAACTGAATATCTAATTAGTGTTTGAAACTAGAGAAAGACGCATTCGTTAAAGTTTTCTAAAAGTATTTATTTGGAACTCCGAAATCAGAATTTACATAATTTCATAGTATTTCTAACTTGGATTATTTCGCTAAGTTTCAATAACAAAAATGTAAACAAACCACGTTCATGTTGATAAAGGTTCACATTTTAATTCCCCTAATAATATACATAAAAATATTACTCGACTGTGATTGGTTGATTTCAGTGCAGTTAATCCCAAACAGCAGTGCAATTTTCTGTAATCACAGTGCAATTTTCTGTAATCACAGTGCAAAAATCTGTAACAAACTGATCTGATTGGTGGAAAAACATTGTGATGATTAAATCAACCAATCAGTTTAAAGCAGTTTAGTTTTAAATAAGTAACGGTCACATATTGCTTCAAAACAAAACAAACATGGCGCCGCGCTACACAAAGTAAAAGTTCCCTTCGCGTGGAAAATATGGCTTTTATCTTTATTTTTAAATGGAAAAGCATTTACCTTAAACAAGACTAACAAAAAATACACAGTTGAGTGGAATTTTCAAGCTGTTAGCGTTGTATAATGTGATAAAAGAAAGCCAGGAAAACTTTGCCAGTGGAATGTTCGCTATAAACGCGTAAGTTAAAACTACAATTGTCTCGAACATTTTTATGTAAATTATTAATAAGTAATAGGATGGTTTCTCGTGAAATTTGGATAAACATGCACTCGTGAGTTTTTCAAAGACCTCAAATAGCACTCGTCCTTCGGACTCGTGCTATTTTGAGGTCTTTGAAAAACTCACTCGTGCATGTTATATCTAAATTGCACTCGAAACCATGCTATTACCTATACTAACACTACCTCTCATAGGCTAATTTTAAACGTTAATTAAACTTTTAATGGCATATCATAAGCATAGTCATTTAATAACATTATACTATTAAACTGCTATGGAATATTATAAAACTTTAATATAAACATATTTAACATAAACGTATTTAAATTATCATGACACAGGTAATAATTTTCGGAAAAATGAAACCATTTGTCAAATCCCAGGGGTCTCAGCTACTATAACAATATCTGGCACCAGTGCACGTATACGACAGGCAAATTTCCGACCCCCGTGAACTGTCTATCAGGCAAATTCCCGGGGGTGTTCCGGGGGAGGGGATGGTTACTTCAGGAATTGACTCGTGCATAATTAATACGCACTTGATTGGATAAACAAGTAAACGCACATCTGACTGGTGTACCTCTCTAATACCACGCGCGAAACGGACTTGAAAATCCGCTTAAAATTAACCCAATCCAGACTGGATTGGGGAGGGCGCCGAAAAGGGCTTGTAGTCAACTGACATCTCCTGAATCATTTGGTGTATTTCGACGAAACTGGTAACAGGTGGAAGGTATATATGCTTTGTTCAAGTATATGTTACACCATGGATTGTAAAATAACTGGATAGGAAACGTCCTGACGTGACTGACTGCATCCTTGTTGAAAAACGTGACGTCACGCGTATTGCGAATGTTACCAAAGTTCTCGGCATTTTTGTTGTTTTGCTATATTTTCCACTTTAAAAGGGTGATATTGAAACATAAACTGGTCTAATTGTTTTAAAAACATGCCTAAGCCACGACAAAGTATTCAAGGTAAATGTTTTTCGTCTTTGTTTTGTATTTTTTTACATTTGTAGCTACGAAATTGGCGTCACAAATTTTAACGAAATTTGCGATGTATTTTTCACCGTTTAGTGCTTGAAATATTTGCTAAAATTGACTGGGAATACTTAGAGATTTCATCGTAGAATGGCGTGGTTATATTTATTTGCTCTTTGACTAAAATGTTTAGCTGTATTAGGAGTGGTCATTATTTATGGGGAGGGGGGTGGGAAATGGGAGAGGGGGCGGGGGAAACGAAGTTTTACCCTTATAAATAGGGGAGGTCAAAAAAGTTTTAACACAGAGAAAGGGGGGGGGTCATAAAAGTTTTTGAACTTAAATACCATGTCTAGAGTTCTGATTTCTATAATCACAAATAGCAAAAAAGAAGACTCTGAAAATGTTATTTCCAACGATCTAGAGACTCAAAATTTTCAAAATTTCCCTGCTCGGCGCCAACCATGGTAGCGCCTCGCGATCGTGGGAGTCGGGCCCACTAAGTTTAACAAGCTTTCTACCCCCTGAGTGACCCAGTTGTGGTATTTACATAAACATACCATGCAAGTACACTTAACTGATCAGATTCGGTCTATCAACGCACAATGTAACGCTGTATATCCAAAAATCTGTTTCAGAAAATGCTCACATTTCAATTCTAGGGGTGGAAAAATAAAAAAAATTTTCTGGGGGAGAATACCCCAGACTCCCCTACTAGTACATACGATACCACACCAAACTTTTTGTCACCAACAACCATCTGTCATCTCTCCACACTCAATATAGTATGGTCCCTTTTTGTAGATGCCCACCCCCCAGACAAGTTCTTAAAAAAAACCTGTGTTCAAATCATTTCGCTGTATGAAGACGGGTCATGGGTTAGGGTTATGGTAGGACAAATGTTGCATTGCAAAGTAGTAACACATAATATATATTTTTTAATCATATATGGTTGAATCATATTCACCGGGGTAAAACATCATGAGCTAGATTAAACAGATTGTCCTAATATCTAACTTTACCTGCAACACACACCTGTTTCATTGCTGTTAATTTTTCAATCCACGCTGGGGGGGGGGTCAGAAAAGTTTCTACTTTTATGAGGGGGGAGGCACAAAAAGTTTGCCTTCAGTCTGGAGGGGGGGAGGGTCAAAAAAGTTTTCAATCCTTATTTTCCCCATTTCCCAACCCCCCTCCCCATAAAT